ACCTACTACTAGATAAAGTAGAAAAATGTGGGTTAGACAGCATCACCACCAGAGGGATTCATAACTGGCTGACCAACTGCAATCAATGTGTAGTCCTCAATGGAACTGCATCTACATCTATCCCAAGACTCTGTTTTAGGCCCAGTACTCTTCAACATCTTCATCAATGACTTGGACAAGGGGATAGAACTCATCAAATTTGCAGACGACACCAAGCTGGCAGGAATAGCCAACACTTCAGAAGATAGGCTTAAGATACAGAAGGATCTTGACAGACTTGAACATTGGGTGCTATCTAACAAAATTGAAATTCAATGGTGAAAAAAGTAAGGTTCTACATTTAGGCAAGAAAAATCAAATGCATAGGTACAGTATATGTGGTACCTTGCTCAATAGTAGTAACTGAGAAGGATCTTGGAGTTGTAGTGGACAACCATTTAAATATGAGCCAGCAGTGTGCAGCAGCTGCCAACACAGTCCTAGGCTGCCTAAACAGAGGGATATAATCAAGATCATGGGAAGTGTTAATACCACTTTATAATGCCTTGGTAAGACCACATTTGGAATACCGCATTCAGTTTTGGTTGCCATGATGTAAAAAAGATGTTGAGTGCAGAGAAATGCAACAAGGATGATTAGGGGACTGGAGGCTAAAACATATGAAGAACAGTTGAAGGAACTGGGTATGTTTAGTTAATGAAAAGAAGGACTAGGGGAGACATGATAGCAGTGTTCCAATATCTCGGGGGCTGCCACAAAGAAAAGGGAGTCAAGATATCCTCCAGAGCACCTGAGGGCAGGACAAGAAGCAATGGGTAGATACTAATCAAGGAGAGGAACAACTTAGAACTAAGAAGAAATTTCCTGACAGTTAGAACAATTAATCAGTGGAACAACTTGCCTCCAGAAGTTGTGAATGCTCCAACACTGTAAGTTTTTAAAAAGATATTGGATAACCATTTGTCTGAAGTGGTGTAGGGTTTCCAACTCTGTTATTCTATTCTATTCTATTCTATTCTATTCTATTCTATTCTATTCTATTCTATTCTATTCTATTCTAAATATAATGAAATTTGGAATTCATTTATACAAAACAGAGTTGGTTCAAAAAGTATGATAGTTGTACAGTATAAGTGTGTGTGTTTCATTATATAATTATATATAGAATTGTAACTGTTTACTGTGGCAAATATTCATTTTAATCACATTAATCATTTTAATTGCTTCCCAACAGTTAAGTCTCCTCTCCTAACATAACTTTTTAATGTTATTTCAAGTTCTAAAATAATCATTTTGAAATAATGTACAATTCACATTTGTTGTATTAACACCCAAGTGTTTTCCTTCTCTGGGCTACAGAATTCATTCAAAAAATGGAAAGGTCCATTTAAAGCAGATACACCAGAAATATATTATTTTGCAAGGAAAATCCATTATGGATGCTAATTAACTTGATGAAACAGTGCTAGAAAACTTCATTGTTTTTTTAAGTATAATTAAATGGTAAATTTTATTTTATTTTTTTAAAAAAGGAAGACAAATTAAGCCCCAATCCATGCACCAAAAATTCTTTCAACTGGAGAACTGCTGCCAATTTGCATTCTGTAATTTAGGTTATAAGTAAAATTTGCATTTAAATAATATGAGCATGACTTCAGGAAGACAAGTTACTCATATTATTTATGTCATAAAGTTTAAGGCAAATTAATAACCATACGAAAAAAACCTCAAGCAGATATTGAGACCATTCTGTTTTTCAGCGCACTCACTCATTTCTTCTGCTAAGGCACTTAAATCTAATGCTATCTTTGAAAAATATAGTAATATACAAGCATCCGGAATTTCAGACTTCTGCTGTATCACTCCCCAAGTACACCAGAAAGTACACCAGAATTCAGCAAGGCTGTGCAATACAAATCAGTGTGCAAGAATCAAGCATCCAGTGCCATAAATCAGAACTACTTGGATAATTAGCAAATTAAAGATCCATTTGATCCAGCCTTCTGTTTATAATTGTAATGAGAAGCAACTTTGATGTTTACAAGCAGGACATTACAAGCCTTCTCATCTTTGTACCCAAGAGTCATTCTTTTTCTCAACTAAAAATTTCATTTATTTTTGCTTGATCTAGCTTTTCCAGCCTGTAGCTGGAGTGAACTGTTTCATGCTTCCCTAAACCCATGTATCTGCTATCTAGGATGATGCTCCTATTTCTATTATAAGCACTGCAATATGCAACAGAAAGCCTGTCAGCCACAAGCATACTTTTAAATAGAACAAGTGATTGTATAACTTCATATTTTGTTTCTTTTAATAATTTTTGACAGCTAAATTATTAATCTTTTCAACTAATTTATACTTATGATAGAGGCAATTACACCCTTAGAAATGTAAAAACTTTTTTTTAAAAAAAATGGGATATATAATTGCAGTTCTGAAATCCATATTTAGGTAAGTAATTGCATAATTATGCAGATGCTGACAAGCCTTAGCAAAAGACACTGGATATTTCATGGCTTGAAATTCATGCACCTATGTAATATTCTGTTGTTCTGCTGCAATGGCATTAAGTATATGCATTCTTGATTCCAATTCCAAGAAGCATGGCCAAAAATAAACCAAGATGGTGTTGGTCCTCAGAATCCCACTAAAGAATAAAGCAAAGAGATAGATTCATATTCCAAGGGTGTTCCAGGAACAATCCAATGGCCATTAGGTACAGGAATAGGGATAGAAAGTGACCTAACAGATTTTTTTCTGTAGGCCCTGTGCCTTCACCTGTGTTCCTTGAGCATTAGTATTGCTTTGGTCTCAACCTCTGAATCAAATTAGGAAGATCAGCTTTTGGTAGATTTGGACTATTGGCTCCACACCTGAACTACGGTACTTGAAGTTGGTCACTGTCCCAGAGAATCTGAGTCTGGATAGCCTCAAAAACCTTTATTATCTGATGAAAACTCTTGCGAGTGGAGGCATGGCGTTTCTTTATATTCTTTAACATATGATAGAAATTGAGGAAAGGGGGATTTATATTGAGATTCTCCATCCCTCATTCATTAGAAGAGAGAAATGAATATCTTCAAACCATACTAAGTACATACATAATCCCCCACCCCAAATCTTCAGAGTATATTTTTAATTTATTTTTGTTAAAATTGAGGTTTCATTAAAAAAAATTGCACAAACATGTATCAAACATGCAACATAATTATAGGCATTAGAAACCAGAAATGATTGTACATGATGTGGCAAAAATAGGAAGGGGATATGTATGAAAAAAAAAATAGCAGAAGATGAAGTTTCTTATATAAAACATTAACAGTAATAACTTCATTCCCATGATCAACCTTCCAAACCTGGCATCATCCTCCCATTGTGCTGAGAAGCTGCAGTGCCACCATACCTGGAGAAGGTGCCAAGCTGAGGAAGGCTGATCTAGATAAGCTCCACAAATGATGAAGACAAAGTCCAGAGTTACAGCAATTGCTTTTGAGACATCAATAACCTGCTCAATTACATTACGCAAGCAATTATCAGACCCATGGAAGAATCAGAGTTATAACAGAATATTTGCTACGCATCCAGAAAAACCTCAGGGTTTTTTTGACATATTCAGGTCAGATTGAAAACCTGTCTGGATTTTGGAATGCAGTTATATAGTTTAGTAGTCAGACTATTAAAAAAAAACTTATTTACATATAGTAATTTCCCAATAATGAAAATATCAATAGCAACACAGGAACTGCTTTTTTATTTTTCTCTCCTGCTCTTTTATCATCTGGAAGACACCAAGAAACATTTTTTGACTTGGCATTTCTTACCCTGCCAAGTTATCAATACTTTGGATGATTTGCATTTTTAGGTCAGTTGTCAAGAATTTTCTTTATTGTGATAGCATTGGTATTCAATTTTCCTTTTTTATGAGAGGAGAATCAAAAAGTAAGCTATAAATCATCAAATATGTTGGCTGGGAAATAGCAATATTTGCCTTGTTGAGACCAGTTATTCTGCATGCTATGCTATACAGGTACTGGTTGTGCTACCTTTAGGTATGATTTATTGTGGGACTTTTGGACAAATGTCAAAAGCCCCACCACTTATCCAGTATATCTTTTTTAAAAAATCACTTTTGGGGGGCTCAATAGAGTTCCAAATAAATAATTTTCTATTTTCTGTTCATTTATTTCTGCCTTTCCAAATGTAATTAAGGGAGACATAGCTACATTTTTTTAGTGTTGATTCCTAGTGACTGCCTAGACAAGCCCTTACACTCTGCATCATGATAAAAAGTTGTCTTTCAGGAACAAGAATATGTTTCCTTCTCTAGAGTGAACATACCTCCATTATAAATACTTTAAAAGGATATACTTTATTCCTTTGCAATCTATATATTCCCATAGTATCTACTGCCCATCCTTCCCAAGACCACTACACTTGGAGATGGTAACTATTGTCAGGATTGTGTAGTAAGTCCTGTTCAGACGTGTATGGAGATTCTCAGTCACCCATGTCATGGTTGTCCCAAAAGTGCTTTTTCAAGAGGCAACTGTACTTTCTTTTTTGCTTTGAAGATGTTTTGCTTCTCATCCTAGAAGCTTTCTCAGCTTCTTAGATGAGAAATGAAACATCTTCAAAGAAAAATCAGAAAGTACAGTCTTGAAAAAGCACCTTTGGAAGTCCTGTTCAGGTTAGTACAGACCAAGTTGAACAGAAAATGACTATTTTAAGTTTGAAGAACCCTGGTTTAGGATTGTGAATTGCCCAGTCAATTGCTGTTATTAACAGCCATCTGTCACAGGCATTTCATGGGATGAATGAGGGTATGTGTATATTGACGTCATCAGATGTCATGATGCAAGAATAAGGTTGTGTGATTATGCCATTATGGTTGGTTACAGATATTGACATCACTGATAATAACAACATGAACCAGGGGAAAATAAATTACTAGAGTTTAGTTTGGCTGTGTTTTAAAGTCTGGGTTAATAAGAACTGACAGAAAAGAGATAATATGATTTATTTGAATTAATATTTGGTTTTCCCAGAATTCAATAATTGGTCTGTTCATTTGTTGTGGTGCAATAAAAAACTATTTCTTATGGCTCACTTAATGCAGTTTAAAAATATTCTTCTTTGTAGAAGATACTTTATTCTTCCTATTCTGTGGAGAAGAAAAATCATCTCAAGAAATATAATTTATGCCTTATGAAATTAATGGCAAATACAAAAGAATTTTATGAATATATGTTCATTAAAAAGAAAAAGAAATGCTGAATGGATCTCAAAAGCAAGCCGTCTTAGTTTTCTTGTTTTCACTTTCATAGATTTCCATGGCACTTGTGGATATTTTCCTAGAGTTCTTTCCAGCTTTTTTAATTGGTCGCTTTTTTCAACAGCCAAACTTCATTGCGCCGCCCATAGGGTTTCATGGGGGGATCGTAACCATTGCAAAAATAGAAGTCTTTGTGGAAGGATGCCTCATTTCCTAAAGCAGAGGTTAGCTTGGCTGCATAATTCACATAGTCTGCTTCTTTGGCATAGCCTCCAAACAGCCTATGAGGGGGGGAAAAGAACAACAATAATAAAAAAAGCCCACAGTTCAAATCATGTGTGAATGAATTCCAGGGAGATGAATGAAAATGAAAATGAATGTATCAGGGATTTGTATTTGACAGGAAAAAGAGTGAATGATTGAAAGTTATATGTACAGTGGAAACTCGAAAAATTAGAATATCATGCAAAAGTTCATTTATTTCAGTAATGCAACTTAAAAGGTGAACCTAATATATGAGATAGACTCATAACATGCAAAGCAAGATAGTTCAAGCCGTGATTTGTCATAATTGTGATGATTATGGCTTATAGCTCATGAAAACCCCAAATCCACAATCTCAGAAAATTAGAATATTGTGAAAAGGTGCAATGTTCTAGGCTCAGAGTGTCCCACTCTAATCAGCTAATTAAGCCATAACACCTGCAAAGGGTCCCTGAGCCTTTAAATGGTCTCTCAGTCTGGTTCAGTAGGAAGCACAATCATGGGAAAGACTGCTGACCTGACAGTTGTGCAGAAAACCATCACTGACACCCTCCATAAGGAGGGAAAGCCTCAAAAGGTAATTGCAAAAGAAGTTGGATGTTCCCAAAGTGCTGTATCAAAGCACATTATTAATAGAAAGTTATGTGGAAGGGAAAAGTGTGGAAGAAAAAGGTGCACAAGCAGCAGGGATGACCGCAGCCTGAAGAGGATTGTCAGGAAAAGGTCATTCAAATTGTTGGGGACTTTCACAAGGAGTGGACTGAGGCTGGAGTCAGTGAATCAAGAGCCACCACACACAGACGGATCCTGGACATGGGCTTCAAATGTCGTATTCCTCTTGTCAAGCCGCTCCTGAACAACCAACAATGTCAGAAGCGTCTTACCTGGGCTAAAGAAAAACAGAACTGGTCTGTTGCTCAGTAGTCCAAAGTCCTCTTTTCTGATGACAGCAACTTTTGCATCTCATTTGGAAACCAAGGACCCAGAGTCTGGAGGAAGAATGGAGAGGCACACACTGCAAGATGCTTGAAGTCCAGTTTGAGGTTTCCACAGTCTGTGTTGATTTGGGGAGCCATGTTATCTGCTGGTGTTGGTCCACTGTGCTTCATTAAGTCCAGGGTCAACACAGCCGTCTACCAGGAGATTTTGGAGCACTTCATGCTTCTTTCTGGAGACGAGCTTTATGGGGATGCTGACTTCATTTTCTAGCAGGACTTGGCATCTGTCCACACTGCCCTAAACACCAAAACCTGGTTCAATGACTGTGGGATTACTGTGCTTGATTGGCCAGAAAACTTGCCTGAACTGAACCCCATCGAGAATCTATGGGGCATTGCCAAGAGAAAAATGAGAGACATGAGACCGAACAATGCAGAAGAGCTGAAGGCTGCTATTGAAGCATCCTGGTCTTCCATAACACCTCAGCAGTGCCACAGGCTGATAGCTTCCATGCCACGCTGCATTGAGGCGGTAATTGCTGTAAAAGGGGCCCAAACCAAGTACTGAGTACATATGCATGCTTATACTTTTCAGAGGTCCGATATTGTTCTATGTACAATCCTTGTTTTATTGATTGCATGTAATATTCTAATTTTCTGCGATTGTGGATTTGGGGTTTTCATGAGCTGTAAGCCATAATCATCACAATTATGACTCATCATGGCTTGAACTATCTTGCTTTGCATGTAATGAGTCTATCTCATATATTAGTTTCACCTTTTAAGTTGCATTACTGAAATAAATGAACTTTTGCACGATATTCTAATTTTTCTAGTTTCACCTGTAAATAATAAAAAAATAGAGCAAGCATATTAATTTGTGTACTTTGTAAATTTTAGCACTTTAGTACTTTAGTAGCTTATCCATTCTCAAGACCTTTGTTTGGGTTAAATTTATATTTACTGAGAAAGAAATAAAGGTCAATAGCTTTGTTTGGGTTGTTTCAGAGTTATTGCATTTCACTTCTTGGCTCCACAGAATCTTAAATTGCCCAAGTTCAAGAACCAATTTGATACACCTAATACTGGGTTTTAATTTTGTTGAATTGTCAGTGTATATAATACCTTACAGAATTATATTAGCAAAATTAAATTTTAAAATGGAACCTCTTGCTTCAATTAACTTAAAAGCTAACGATTCAATAGGGTAGTTATAATTCCCATTTGACCCTTGCATCCATAAGAATCATGCCTTGATGCACAGATATTTTCTTTTAAATATATGGAAGCTGTTGTGAAATTAAAACTATATTTTTGGCTTGTGCTAGTAGAAAAAATGCTTTGTACCACTGCATGATGAAATAAGCATTCAAGATAACTCACTGATCCAAAGTTAACTATGATTATAATTTGCCGAATATTAAAAATTAACAGAGATAATAAAATCCAAAATATTCCTAGAAAGCTTTGTGCTCTCCAGTTCAATCCTCAGTCTCTGTAGCCAAGGTCAATAGCTTTGTTAGAGAAGGTGATAAGATTTCAGGTTGAATACATCTGGGAAGTACCAATTTAAGGAAGGTGAATGGCAGCCATGGACAAACCTATAAGTCCTTCACTCAAACTTATTTAAAGAAACTTACGTAGAATAAACAACCATTTCTTCCCTTTTCTCAACCCGGATGCTCTCATCACTTGGTGAAGGAGGGTTGTCCTGGAACTGGCTTGGAATTCGTAGCAGAACTTTCACCTTGGGCTGCAATGATCCGTCCTCTGCAGGAAAGACCGTGCTACATACTGGAGCCATCATCCCCATGCCAGCTCCTGAGAATAAATGAATAATTGGTTCTTAATTAAGAAAGAAATTTATGTTCACCTCTAAATAGGCTTGTAAGTGTTGCAAATATACAGCTAAGCAACTGAGTTATAAAGAGAGTTGTGAGAAGGAAACCTCACCTTGATTATTGCTTCCTCCAACATATTTAAGAAGTTTCAGCACTGCTTCACGTAAAGCCTCGTCAAAGGGCTTTCCAGAGAGTTCAACACTGGCAAACATCCCACCTTCGTATGTCCTTTCCTCATAGGCTACATCATCCTAGTATCCCAAGAGATTAAAAAAAAAAAAAGACTAATTGATACATTGCTATAAATATTCATACAAAAAAGGCAGTTTATTGCAAGAAGTAGTTGGCTACTTACCCAAGAACTAGAAAGCTCTTTAAGAGAGATAATGAATCATCTATACATAGGTTTCCTATTCAAAGAGTGGTTTTGAAAAATAAATCCCATTTAACCTTTAACCCAATTCTAACCATAACACCATTCTACATGTTTATATTCTACAATTATTGAATAGTCAGATAGCCAGATTCCCATCTCCTGTCCAAGGCTGTTGCCACCAACTGTCCAATGGACGATATAAAGTGCTATAATAATTGCAGTATATTTATACAACCTATAAGAAAATTAAAGAGTGATACAAGCACATGCAATAAATAAATGCTAATGTTCAGCAAACAGAAAAACTTCTTCGCAACAGAATATCCACCAAGAAGTAGAGAACTGGCTTCAATCGCTTTAAGATTGAACTTGGGAAATAAGTGTTGGAAACCATGTACATGCAGGGATATTCAGAAGTTGGCAAAATATATCTTCTGTTTAAAAAGAAAATCTTCAGCAGTGCTCCTATCTATATTACAAGCCAATGGGATGGGGCTTGCTTACTTGCTCCAATATACTTAATGGGGTGGGGGGAGGGAGGAAATAAAAGAAATGGGATAGATGTGGAACTGAGTAGCTGAGATAAGGCCATGGCTGGCAGGCTGGCATGCAGAAAAAGAATGGCCCATTACCTGCATGCTTGATTGAGTTTCCTTGTCTGCGTATGTATGTACAGATCTCCTTTATAAAACGTTTTATTATTTCAATTACACTTTTCATTCACTCTGATATTGTCTGTGAAATAAAGTGCTTGAAATCTCAGCTAGACCGTTCCGCTGTGCTCTTCCACATAGCTTAGGAAAGGTTACTGATATGGTAGAGCACAAACTTTGCCAGGAGAATAACTCACACTCATACAGGCAAGTCGTAGCTTCCCTTCTCCCAATTCCACCAGGCAGGCAATACCAAAACCTCAAATGCTTTTTTTTATTTTTTTTGTAAATTTTATTTGAGTTTTCACAAAAAGAAAAAAAATACAAATAAAACATCTTTTTTGAAAGTAGCGTAATCCCGGATTACATTTCTTCGTACAGACACAAATTCAAGTTCATGCTCATTTTTATATTCTATTCCATATCTTATTACTATTTTATATTTTCGGCATAGCTTCTCCCCTCTTTTAATTTTCTCAATTTTATTTTAATTATCTCATCTCAATTCAAATCATTATATTTGTATTTTTTGTCTGTCCTGTTTCAATTATCTATTATCTTTTCTCATTAAACAAAATTTCTCCTGTAGCTACTGATTGGAGTATGACGCCTTTATATCTTTTAAGTTTATCCATTTAACTCTTATTTAGGCTTCAATATATACCCTAAAGTTATCACATTCAATATAATACATAACTTCCATTCGGATTCTGCTTGGTACATTCTTAAAATACACACTATATTCTTAAAAAAAGAAAAAATTATAAATGTATGTAATTAAAACAACACATTCCATTCCAATTCAATTCTATCATTAATATTAATATTCATTGAAGTCTTAACTTCTTTAACATTACTTTTCAATTAAATATCATATTTCTATGGGAACAATTATAAGCTTTCCATAATTAATTCCCCCCCTCTTCACTTATATTTTATAAAACATTAACTAATTAAAATGTTCCCGTTCCTTCCTAATTCAATTTTCTCATTATATTTTATTTCACTTATTTTATTAACAAACATTTCACTAAATTACACTAACTATTTTATCCCTCATTTTAATCATACATTGTTTCCAATTTTCTAAAGTTATTTCTATTACTAATATAACAATACTATCTTATGTACCTTTACAGAATCCCTTTTTCAGTTAGATTTTCACCCATTATCTCTAAATAGGTCCTGTTTCTCTATATTTTGTTCCGGTCCTTTGTAACTTCTTTTCCTTTCCTTCTTCCCTCTCTTCTTCTCTCTCCCCTTTTTACCCCCTTGTCTCTCTACCTCTATTTCTCTCTTCTGTATTTCCCTTTTCTGTTGCTTTCCAGTATCATACTTATTTTTCGAATTATTTTTCTTTTCTTTGGTTGTTTTTTTAAATCTTAAATTCTCCATTCTCTTCCCCCCCCCTTCCTTTTTCTTCCCCACATAAAATTACTTGTTCATTAAAGATGGCTTCTTCTTTGTCCCAGTCTTCTTGTTTTGCAGATATTTCTTGTTGTTTCTCATAGTTCCAAATCTCCATTTCTAAGAATTGAAAAACGAAGGCAAAAGAACCCTTCCCTTCTAGTTCATCTTCTTTGTACTTTTAAAGTTCTATTTTCAATTCATCCAGAAGTGGTGCCATTGTATAAATTTTTAAACAACCACCCGATTAATTTTAGTCATTCAAATGTAATAACCAAGAATCCAAAGATCACCAAATAATCCAACTACACGCAAGCTGTTTCTTTTTGCTCTTTTTTTTCCACTTTCTCTTCTTGGGGTTACTGTTTAGTTACAAAGTTTCAGTTAAAATGTATCTTTTAGAAGTCTTGTTGAAGTTTTACTGTAGATTCTTTTTAATTCCAGGCAGTCTCCTTCCTCTTCCAGATCCTGCCCTTATTTTTTTCTCTCCCTTCCTTTCCCTTTTCACTTTCCTTCGCTGCTTCCGACTCTTCTTTGGGAGCGATGTTATTTTTTTGTAAGTTTAAATTCCAGGGTACCTTAGTTGTTGCTTTCACAATTTAACCCAGTCAGCCAAAACTTTCACTTATTTTCCTCCTGCACATTCTTTTCCGGTCGAGTTCTTCTTTGTGGTAGCCATTTCTGACCACCGCTGCAACCGCCTTCGGGAAAGGGAGTAATGGCCAGCTGAGGAGGAGAGATGCGGCTCTCCTCAACCCTGCTGGTGGTCTCCCCCCTCTTCACCACCTCTACGGGGTGGCTTAGCCCCGAAACCAGCCGGCTCGGAGTGCTCCAGTGGCAAGCCCAGACCAAAACCGTGCACGATCGCGGATTTCTGTCTGTCGCCGAAGAGATTTCAAACTCCCAAAACCTCAAACGCTTGAAGTGGAAGGGAAATTATGACTAAGTTAACCCCACCCCCATTCCATCCTTCCTCCTCTGTTTGAAAAACTTTTGGCTTGGAAAGAAGGGGGAGAGAGAGAGAGATGGAGTTGAGAAAGGACCCCCCCGGAGGAGACCAAGGAGGAGGAAGATGCCGGAAAGACATTAGCAAGATGGAGAATGGAAATAGCCAAATGGTTTCAGTGAATCAGTTTATAGGAGAAGCATAGAGAAAAACAATTCTCAAGCGGAGCTGCCGTAGGGGTGAGGCTGCGTTTTTCTGAGACCAGAGGTGATGGCAGCTGTGACATTACTCACATCTTTTCCAGGGCAATAGCAAAGATAGATAAGGGACTCAGCAGGGCCCATGGTACAGCACAGCTCTAGTGGTACCAAGTTTGCTCCCTCACATGTCCAGATTCAAACTATATACAGTATATAACATTTTCCTGTCTGAAACCATGATGCATCTCTACTCATCACAAATGACTCTGGAAACTATACCCCAAAGGGACAGTGCCAGAAACCTCACAGCACTAGAAACCTCAGAAAACAGTGCCAAGAAAACTCAAGCCAGTCCTTCCCCCTTAAAAAAACCAAGAATCACCAGCTCAGAGAAAAAACTCAGAGCAGCCTACTAACTGCTACAAAAGTAACAAAACCTGACCGCAGAAATACTTAAGTAGAGCCATTAAAATAAGGGGATCACATTAAAAATAAAGTCTCCAAGGTAAGCCAAAACTCTTTGTCTTGCCCCCTGACAAGATTAATTCCTAATATAGGAAAAGACAAAAAGATCGAAACAGGATTAGCTTATCAGGGCAGGAAGGAAAAACTCAGAGCAATCACTAACCAGGACAAAGCCATTAAGCCATAATAGGAATTGCCCAAAGCCTCTTCATTACAATATCCAGCAAGATTCAACCAAGCCTGGGACTCAATACAACCTACAAAGTTACCCCTGCATGGGAGTCTGACAACCAATCAGGATGCATTTCTTGCCACATAAACAGGAAGCAAGCTGAAAGCCCAACAGAGGATATAAATCTCCCTCCCTCCCTCAATCATGCACTCCATTTTGTCCAGACTTCAAATCCCGTGTGGTCCTGTCTACCTTAAACCATCCTTCCAAGCAGTCTCTATGTTTCCAGTGTCTTTCTTCTTACTTGGACCTGAACCCAGATGGACATTTCTTCCAACAACTTTACACAAAATATAATGCAATTTATTTATGGCTTACAACATATGTATCAGGCTTGGGGCCTTCCAAACAGGGGTGGGATTCTACCAGTTCGGACCAGTTCTATAGAACTGCTTGTTACAATTCTGTGCAGTTCGGAGAACCAGCAAATTGCACCTCTGGCTGGCTTCTTCCCTCCCCTCCAACCCTGCCCAGGAGGCTTTCCTGAGGCCCAGTCATGGGTGGTATTCAGGGGGTTGGGGGAGGGAGAAGTGGCCTGAGAGCAGAGCTGAACCTTCCTTAGGACTGAAGCTTCTATTTTTCAGTGCAGACTCAGGCAGCAGATTGCAGAAAGGTAGATCTGGGAGTGAAGCTGTGATTCTGCAAGCATCTCAATCTGCCTGCCTGCTTTGCCTGATTTTGGGTAAAAGTTGCTTTTTTTAAAAATAAAAAATTCAATCTTTACACATATATTTACAATATTTACATACAAACCACACCCAGCCAGTCACATGACCAAGCCACACCCACAAATAAGGCCACGCCCACAGAACCGGTTTCCATATTCCTTATGTTCCTACAAGTTGGCGTACAACTCCATGCAATTAGAGTAGATTTTCAATATACACATAGAATTCCTGTTCTATTTCATTCTAATCTATTTCACAAGTTTGGGCACTAAATAAACTTTCACAAATTCCTTAGAGAAAGGTGGGATACAAAT